TGCCCTGTCCTTTGAGGATGAGACCTTCCTTAAGATAATGGAAAAGGAAGTCCACCAAGATGGAAACAATAACTGGATTGCTCCTTTACCATTCAAGTCCCCTCGCTTGCCACTTCCAAATAACAGAGACCAAGCGCTGTCTAGACTAAACTCACTGAGACGCAACTTAACCAAAAACCCTCTAATGAAAGAGCAGTTCTCAGAATTTATGGACAAGCTGTTTAAAAACAACCATGCAGAGATTGCTCCACCCATTGATGGTAACACTGAGTGCTGGGACCTGCCTATTTTCGGCGTATATCATCCCCAGAAGCCCGGTCAGATACGGGTGGTCTTTGACTCTAGTGCCGAACAGTCTGGTGTGTCACTCAATTCAGTGTTATTAACGGGCCCTGATCTCAATAACACCCTCCTTGGTGTCCTGATTCGGTTTAGGAAAGAGCTCATTGCAACCACTGCTGACATTCAGCAGATGTTTTACGGGTTCCTGGTTAGACCAGACCACAGAGGCTATTTGAGGTTCCTGTGGCACAAGGACAATGACTTGTCAAAAGAGGTGCAGGAGTACCGCATGCGGGTACATGTTTTTGGTAATAGCCCGTCACCAGCGGTAGCCATCTATTGCCTTCGAAGAGCCATCCAGGAAGGTGAGGCAAAGTTTGGAGCAGACACAAGACACTTCGTCAAGAGACACTTCTACGTCGATGACGGGCTGATTTCGGTTCCCACAGAGTCTGCAGCCATCGATCTGCTCAGGCGCACATGTGCATCCTTAGCTGAGTCTAACCTCAAGCTCCACAAAATCGCCTCGAATAGTGTCTCAGTCATGCAAGCATTCAAGCCAGAGGATTTGGCCTCCGGCATCAAAGACTTGAGTCTCGGCGACGATGCTTTACCGGCCCAGAGAAGTCTAGGAATGTGCTGGGACATTAACACTGATTCATTCACCTTCAAGGTAGCTGTCAATGACAAACCCTATACCCGCCGCGGGGTTCTCTCAGTGATTAATAGCATCTTTGACCCCTTGGGACTAGCATCGCCAGTGACAATCAAAGGCAGACTCTTGTTACGCAAAATGTCAAATGGAGTCCAAGATTGGGATGCTTCTCTCCCCCAAGAGGAGATGGACGCATGGGAAACATGGAAAATGTCCCTCCAAGATCTGAGCAGCCTAAGAGTGCCGCGCTGCTATGTACCAGCCTCCCTTTCCATGTCCACTTACACTGAACTGTGTGTCTTTAGTGATGCCTGAAGCTGGGCTATTGCAGCAGTAGCATATTTGAAAACAGTCAATGCAGAGGGACAATGTGAAGTCGGATTTGTGCTTGGCAAAGCAAAACTTTCACCCCAACCAGAACCGACAATACCTCATCTTGAGCTTTGTGGAGCAGTTCTAGCGGTGGAGATGGCGGAGCTCATTCTGGATGAACTTGATCATAAACCAAACACTGTCAAATTCTACTGTGACAGCAGCGTGGTTCTTGGGTACATTTGCAACAATTCAAAGCGCTTTTATGTCTACGTACATAATCGAGTTCATCGTATATGCAGGTCCACATCCCCTGAACAGTGGCATTATGTTACATCAGAGCAAAACCCAGCAGATCTAGCAACCAGGTCAGTACCTGCATCGCAGCTCATGGACACTATGTGGTTTAAGGGACCAGACTTCCTTTACAAACTACATGAACCAGAGACACATGAATCGTTTGAGCTGATTGAACCTGAAGTGGATGCTGAAATCCGACAAGTTAGTACTTTTGTTACTCAGATTCAGAAGAGCGGATTCACACCAGAACGCTTCCAACGCTTTTCAAGCTGGACCTCACTGGTACATGCCATTGCCTTCTTAATTCACCAAGCTCGTTCTCACTCATCAAGCAACTCGTCAAATCATTCATGCAGGGGCTGGCATAAATGCAGAGAACCACGCACTCCAGAGGAGATGGATGCGGCCAGTAACCTCATTCTCCAGTCTGTTCAAAGGGACGCTTTTCCTGATGAGTATGCTGCTCTACAAGCCAATCAAACCATCCACGCCTCTAGCCCCATTCATGGGTGACGACCTCATCAAAGTTGGAGGTCGCCTCAAACATGCTTCATTGGACCCGACGTTAAAGAATCCAAAAATTCTGCCAAGCAAGCATCATGTGTCAAAGTTGCTTGTCCTGCACTATCATGCTAAGGTTGTGCATCAAGGAAGGCAGTTCACAGAGAGTGCAGTTAGGCAAGCTGGACTGTGGATTCTAGGCGGCAAAAGACTGGTCTCATCCATTATCCACCGTTGCGTAACATGCAAGAAACTCAGGGGGAAACTAGAGACTCAAAAAATGGCAGAGCTCCCACCTGAAAGACTTGAAACATGCCCTCCATTTTCGTATGTCGGGTTGGACGTGTTTGGCCCATGGTCAGTGGTTACTCGACGCACACGAGGTGGCGCAGCACAAAGTAAGAGGTGGGCGATACTTTTTACGTGTATGACTACAAGAGGTGTACACATCGAAGTCATTGAATCTATGGACACTTGCAGCTGCATAAATGCAATACGCAGATTCTTTGCAATAAGAGGCCCAGCCAAACAAATGCGGTCAGACAGGGGCACCAACTTCATCGCAGCAAGCGTGGAGCTTGGCATGGCACAACCAAACAAGAACCCTCTCGACATTGTCAACCATCTTCATGCCAATGTTTGCACATGGGAGTTCAACCCCCCGCATGCTTCTCACATGGGGGGCGTCTGGGAAAGGATGATTGGGTTAACTCGCCGAATATTGGATTCTATGCTCTTGCAGAACAAACACACCCGTCTGACACATGAGGTGCTTTGTACCCTAATGGCTGAGGTATCGTCTATAATCAATGCAAGGCCCTTGGTCCCTATTTCAACTGACCCTTCCTCACCATTCATACTCTGTCCTGCAATGATACTGACCCATAAGCAGGGCGTTCCTTCTCCACCAGGAGACCTTTGTGGAAAAGACTTGCTCAAGAACCAATGGAAACAAGTGCAAGCACTCGCCAATGGTTTCTGGAGTCGCTGGAGAAACGAATATCTCAACACCCTCCAATCAAGGCGCAAGTGGCATGGAACACACCGCAATCTTCAGTCAGGTGACATTGTGTTGTTGAAACAAAATCAAGCACCCAGAAACTAATGGACAATGGCTATCATCACAGCCACCTTTCCAAGCAGTGATGGGAAGGCCAGAAAGGTTGAAGTGAGGACATCTTCCCAGGGAGTCTCAAAGACTTACCTGCGTCCCATTTCGGATGTTGTTGTGCTCTTAGAAAAGGAAGTGACTGATAAAAAGTTGTAGTGGCATCAGTAATGCCAGGCGGGGAGTGTTCTGTCCCAACTAAAAGATTAAAAAAATGGTTCATAATAATTTAGTGATAAAATGTCATATTTCATCTGTGGTAATTTATGTTAAAAAAGAGAGTCATTTAGTTAAAAATATGTTCTATACAATCAGCATTAGTTTTTCTGTACCTTATTTTGAAGGAGTAATCTGTGTTCGCAATGCATTGTGGGAAGCAGACGCTGCAGTCAGTTGGGAAAAAGCATTGTACAGAAAACCTGCCTATCTGTGTTTAAACTTCATCTCCTGTGGCCTGAATCTTTATATACACCATCGAAAGCAATGGCTGTAAGTTTATTACATGTTCTGGTTTGTTTTATATGTTTAAAACAGCTGATTTAGAGATTGTTTTGTGAATGTGTTTGTGCCAGGAATTAGCCTTATCCCAGAAGCGGATTTTGCTTAGAGCATGGTCTATTAACATAGCAATGATGCTAGCGATCTAATTTGCATATCAGAGGATTGCTAAAACTACTGTTTATCATTACTTAGCAGCTAAGACTAACTTTGATACATGTTTTCTGTCACTAACTATTTCTTTTGTGCATTTATTTCACAATGTCAAAGAGCTAAAGGATATTTTATTTTCTGGTTTATTTTTTAGTTTCACTCAACACTTTCATCGAGCTATTCAAGCCACAGTTGTAAAAGATTGTAAGCCGTCGAGAAGACTGTAATAAAGGAGCAAGACGCTCAGTTTCCTGGCTCATGAAAATTGAGTTTGGCTTGCTGTCGACCTGCGTTAACATACACAGTGTATCCAACACATAGCGATAACAGTACAATATAACTTTCTACAGGACTGAATATAATATCTTTATGTAAAAGTCTGGAGCCTCTGGGGAGTATCTGAGTATTTATAACATTACACAAAGCAAAGGTCTACATCACAGTGTTCATGAAATGCTGGGTTTATCCATCTCCTGGGGCGGGCCTACGGAGGAGTGCTGAAGATTTCCCTGTGAGGGAGCTGCTGGTGAAGATCATGAGTCCTGCTCGATCACTGCCATGAGCTTCAGTCTTCCTGGTGTTTCTTAAATGATGCCTCTTACAGCAGGTCAACAGAACTTATGGCACAGGACAGCTGTGATGAAAGAAAGGGAAGAAGTTTCTCCAAACCTCTGGACCCAGGAAACCCAGCTTAGTCCTGATGGTCTCCCTCACTAGTTTATCTCCAGGGTAAATGTAGCTGTTGATATAATATGTACTCTATTATTAAATGAAAAGAACAAATTAGACTACACTACTGAAACCTCATGCTGTTGTTTTTAAAGTCTCCATGTTACCAGGCTGTAGAGGGCTCTGAAGATTTAAACAGTTTTAGATCCATTACACTCAGTCTTATGTTAAAATCTCAAAGGACAGCATTATATTTTTGATATTAACAGTAACTCTGGGCCTCTGTGGAGTGTGCAGCTGATCTCATCGCTGTCTAAAAATGGAT